CCCCAAAACCCCAAAACCCCAAAACCCCGAAGAGAATTTAGGGTTTAGAATATTAAAATGAATATGAGCATGGCTAATCCTAATGGGAGTAAGAGAATTCATATTCCAACTACAGTTCATCCTAATGAGATTTTTGCAAGAAATAATTCTGTTACAAAAGTTAGTGGAGGTTCGAGCAGAATGTCGAGACTGAGTGTAGCTGCTAGTAGGGATTCAAGAGGAAATTTGAATGAAACTGGCAGGCAACTTAATCAGACAGTTGATTTTAGAAACTCTAGGTTAAAATCAAATAGAGCAGATAGAAGTTCGACCAGATATAGAAACAAACCACAAGATCTAAATCATTATCAACCCACAGCAACTCAAAACTACAGAGACTTATCTCATAGAAGTGAGCGGAAATCACGAAGAAGCCAAATTTCTGCCACTCTAAGTCGTCCTAGAGCTAGTAGGAGAAATGCTACCATCCTATCAGCATCAGTAGATGGTTTTAGACAAAATAGTAACGAAAAACTTGTTCCTAACTCAAAAAGACACCTCCCAATAAACGTTAGAAACGGTGTTTTTGATGAATGGGCTGCTATAGTTAAACACCAAGATGAAATAGATAGAGAAATCAAACGCTTACAGGACCAAAAATAAAAGAGAAAGACAACTGAAATACCGTAAAGACCTTGACCAACAAAATTCCGAATTCCAATCTCGTAAGAAAGGTGCTCTTAACGAGGAACAACGACGACTCGAAGAGATTGTCAACCTAAACATCCAACGACAAAAAGAAAAGGATGAAAAAGAGGAAAAATTGAAGAAAGAAAAGCTAGAAACCCTTAAAAACGACACACTCACCAGCATCCAAGAACAGAAGGAACTCAAAAGGTATGAAGAACAGATGAAGAAGTACCAAACTGAACTTCTGAAGAAGAAAGCTTACGACGAGGACAGAATCTTTTCTAAAAATAAAAAGTTTGCAAGAGTTTCAAAGATTGAGCAAGAGAGCCAGTACCGTAAATTCCTTTCCCAGCAAGTCGCTGAGAAGCAAAAGATCTTCCAACAAAATGTGAAGAAAGATGCGGAATTTGGCCTCCTCGAAAGACGCAAGCTGGAGAAGGAAGACCAAAACAGAAGAGATTTCTTTAATAATATAAAGGAAATTCAGCTGAAGAAGGAAAAGGCACAAAATTTAGCAGAGTTTATCTCTCAGGACCCTGTCTCGCTTAAAATGAAACGTGATGAAGATACTTATATCAGGAATATAGAAATAGAGAATGAGAAAGCTCTTAAAAGGGAAAATGGTGAAAGAAACAAACGCAAGCTTGAAAATTTGAGAAATACTCAGATTTTGAATTCCCAGATTAAGGAGAAAGAAGCTCAAAGAAGAGCACTTCAGCAGGAAGCTGCTAGAATTGCTGAGAGTATGGCCCAGGAAGCTAAAAATCAAGCTGAATATCAGAAGAAGTTGGAGGAGCAAGCAAAGATGATGAAATATAAATGCTTCAAGGACCTCAAAGAGCAAGTTCGAGAAAATAATGAAAAGAAAGCTTTCTCTCAGTTAATGACTGATCATGAGAAAAAGGTGAATTCTGAAGACATGAATGCTTTCCAGAATTATGATAACAGGACGCTCTACGCTCTAGTTCCTGGTTATGACTCCTATAACAAACAAGAAGATTATATTGACAAATCAATGAAGCTTGAAAACTTAGAACAAGTTCGTATCGGGAAGAAGTCTGGGTCTAACTTCAATCCTCACCGAAGCCAGGAGTTAAAGAAAAGATCTGGAAATCCTCCTGTTTCTGTTCAGCCTCTTTCAAATATAGAGATCCTAAATAATAAGGATGAGGATGGTTCTGTCAGAAGGATTGATGTGAAGAAGTTTGTCCCTAAAGTTGTCAAAAAGATGTCTTATGCTGAAAGCAAGAAGTATCGTGCAAACACCTTGAACAATTCTTATGGAGGTTTAGAAGTAAAATAAATTCAATTTAAGATACGATATATGGGGTTTTGGGGTTTTGGGGTTTTGGGG